TCTCGTGCGGAGAGCCAGGCCATCCGCGGCTCCCATTCACCTCCAGCGTTCCAATCAAAGCACGATCAAAAGGCCTCCAAAATCCTTAGGAAGCCCCAGAGCAGAGCCTGGATAATCTACAGGGATCCCGTGCGCCACAAAAATCCCAATTTCTCAGCTAGAGAGCTAGAAATGGCTCTCCAGCAACCAGGCAACAGCAGCGAGAGCAATGGCAGGTTGTCCGGCCATGAACTCGATGCCTTTTTAACACAGAGAGTGGGGAAAAAGAGTCAGGATGCTTCACGCTGGTGACTTTATTGGGTTTTCCATCAAACCACTCCAAGGTTGCTCCGTGAGGAACACCCGTGTCCCGCAGGGTGGTGGCACTCACCGGTGGCATTCGGCGGCACCTCGAGGTTAACGTTGACGAAGAAGCGGATGCTGTCCCCCGAGACGACGGTGTTGTTCACCGCGTCGAAGAGCTCCTCGCCCCCCGTCTCCTCCTTGGCCTCGCAGCCATCGTCCATGTCGCATTTGAGGTACCCTGGTGACAGTGACAAGACGGGGAGGGTGGTTAGGGAGAAACACGGGCTGCGCCGGCAGCATGGGGCTGGCGTGCTGCGGGTGTCACCCACTGGTCATGGCTGCGCAGAGGCCTCGGCAGCACCCAGCGCCTCGCGAGGGGCTTCTTTGTCCCCTTGTCTGGTGAAGGAGCAAAGTGAGAAGCGATCAGCTCAGGTGCGGCTCTGAAGGGCTGCTATGGAGGCGAGACCACAGGCTTCACACAGTGCGAGCAGCAAAGTCAGAGTGTCAGCACCTTGCTCCTCTCCGCTCAAAAACCACGACGAAAACTCCAGCTTGAAGCCATGAAGATCGCCACAGCCTCAGCCCACCCCAAACCCAGCACCTTCATCCGCCCGACTGGCAATTTGAAACTGAAGGCGAGGGGGAGGAAAAAGAAAGGGAATAGAAAGTTTCCAAGGAGACACCTGATAGGGATGGACAGACCCGCAGCTCCCCACGGGGCAGAGGAGCAGGTCACTGGAGGCAGCAGCGCTGAGCAAGCGAGACAAGTCTCTTAATTACAGCAGACAACTCGTTAGCCTTTTGCAAGGCTTCTAATGAGAGTTTAACCTCGCTTCGACTCAACAGCCAAGCTGGTTCGCTGCAACGCTGCATTACGAGGCAGCTGGAGGACTCTTGTGGCGTGCTCGTGTATCATGTTTAATTAGGAGAATTAGGAACATTATAGAATGTCAATTTTTACATTACCAGAATTATTCAGCAGCTTCTACAGCTTCTGACAAAGTCTTTTTATGCCTAATTTGAAGCAGGAGGGATATGTTTCATTAGCTCCATTTAGGCAATGAAAAGCGGGAGCTTCGAGGCAGAGGCTTGAATGAGAACTAAAATATTGATGGCTTTTTAAAGCCTCGTCTAAGCAAACGTGAAGGCGGCAGCAGCTGAAAGCAGCACACGCAGTCTCGGAGGGATCTTGAGGCGACAGCACCACAAAAACAAGCCCGGAGCAGGGAGGCCACAAACAGGAACTCGGCGACACAGGACAGGGGCTGCAGCACTTCCTGCTGCAAGCAACGAGATGACAGGCACTCATCGTGTGCAGGCAAAGGGGCTGCAGGGGATTCAGGCCTTCAGGTGGCTTCTAAGCTGCTTATTCAAGGTGTGGAAAACACAGCAAAAAAAAATAAATCTCAGGTTATTCATAGACTATTCCCTCTCTCGATTTCTGCTTCCTTCATTTACCTGCTTGAAAGGAACAAACATGAATCGTCCCTATCAGAACTGCTCTGAAGGCTTTAAAAAGCATCCAAGGTGCTGCTGTCCCCCATCCAGCCTGCCAGCAAAATGCACCAAGGGTGCCATCCTCTGCAGCTGGTGGAGCTTAGGCAGCTGTTGTCATTCCTGCATGATGGAAACTTGTCCAGAGGCAGAAAGAAGCGAGGGAGGAAAGTACAGGGAAGCCCTGAACACAACACTGAACTATCATGGCACTGCAGGCACCACCGGGGATGAAATACCCGCGCAAGGGCTGGCAGAGGTGCCAGGATTGAGGGCAGCCTGTGTCCTGGAGGAATGAAGAACAGCTAGGCAAGGTGCCTGCTGGCATCAGAAGTGCTACAAAGCCCCACACAAGCATCCAGGTCCCAAAGAAAGAGCCAGACTTGAGGTCTGGTCCCTCTGAACTGTGTGGTGGACACCATAATCTCACCTCAGTGAAGCGGTGCTGACAGTCTCCCTGGTGCCAGGAGAGCTCATGCAGCTAAAATCAGCCTGGAATAGGCTGGAATCTATGACCCTGGCTTTTCCATGTTGACCCCATACCTTTGCAGCCCCAGGGCAGCTGTCCCAGTAGGTTTGTGCTTCTCCATCCTTCGCTCTTTGGGGTCAGATGAGAGGCACATGGGGGTAAGAGGGTTAGAGCACACAGCTCAGAGAACATGGTTGGGTTTTTCCCTACTGTCCTAATGCAGTTAAGGCACAGATGGGTAAGTGGGTAAAAACCAAGCAGGGAAGACTCTTAATTCACCTTCCAGGGCCACTGAAACTGCCTTGATAAGAGCACAGCAGCAGTAGTGGGCCCTGAAAGCGGAGCGGGCTGGAGACAGGCAAGAAGCAACACGGGAGCTGGAAGAAGGGCAAGGGTGGAGCAGGATCAGAGGGTTGGGCAGAGGTCAGCGAGGACTCTGGCAAGGGAAGCATCCTCTGTTCCTCCCTCTTTAGGGGAGGAAAGAGCAGAACAAAAGGCAGCCGAGCCTCATGTCCCTTGGGCAAGAGAACGGACAAAACACTCGGCTTGCAAATAATCCCCAACCTGGGCTGCACAGGAACTGCACTCCCAGGCAGGTGTCTGCTTTGTCACTAAACCACCTCAAGGCTTCAAACCACTCCTGTTTTGAACCTTTTCAGCCTATTAGTCTGCCAGGCACCTTAAAACATCACCAAACTTCTGCCTGTCAAACGCAGGGTCACCTCGAGGTGAGGAGATAAGCTGCATGCATGGCAGATGCACCTTCCCTTCCCTCTGAGCACAGCTCAAGAGCTGCCTCCAGCCCTGGCAGCTGTATTCTTCCCCATTGCCTGATGATCACCGAGTGCCACCCCTGCTGCTCGAAGGGCAGCTGATGCCACAAGCAACAGCAGCAGCTGTTCAGCTCCTCTCAAAGTCTAATTGGTGTTCTGCACAAGTTCAGAGAGGGATCTGATGCAGGCAGTGCATCATTCATCGAAATATCAGTCATATTTCCATATGGAAGCACAGTCTTGGTAATACTTTATAGTCTGTGCTGTGAGCAGTTGCTTTGGTGAGGTGGAGGACTGAGTTAGACACCTTTGCATACTGCCTCAGATCAGCAGGGGAAGAGTTTAAGGTCTCCAAAGTGGGTCCCCCCCATCTCTATCACTGCAGGTTGCTACCTTCATATTAAGGCAACATTTGCTGAAGCTCCATGAGATACACAGCACGGTGAGTGAGACCTCTGAGCACAGGAGGTGCAGCTTCAGCCTGAAATATGAGCTGAAAGCACTACAGAAAAGAGATTTTGCAGAGGTAGGAACCGAGTTAAGGTTGGTTGAGAAGATCGGTGCAGCCCTCCTGCACCTTTAAGAACACCATGGTCACCACGATCCCCTTCACTCTACACTGCAGGGCTCAGCTCAGAGCAAAGAGAAGCAGAAAAGCACATGTGCACAAGGCCAAGGACAGCAAGCACCATCCTGCAGTGCTGCAGGAACTAAATCCACTCCTCACCCTGTACAGCCATAAGTAGCTTGTGGCTTGACCCCAAGTCTTCCCATACCAAAACCCATCCTGTACAATACGAAAATAAGCCATCTCCCATTTTATGCAGGTGCTGGGAAGAAAAAGAGAATTAGAAAATGCGATTTCTCTATCCATATCCCCCTTCAAGCATCACCCCTTCCCCTGTAATTCATGTCTGGCCCAGGCTGCCTTGCCCTAATATCAAGGTATTCATCCCTAGCTTGCGCCCCTTTCGTCACCTCCTCGGATCCACTTCCTCTCCCTGGTCCTGCTGCTATGAACCCTGTCACAGCTCTGACAACGTGCCTGCCCTGCAGCTATTTTGCTTTTGAGCTGAGCTTTAAGAGACCAGGGCTTTGTCGGGAAAGGCAGTGAATAGAATGGCAGCAATGGGAGGTGGCATTACCTCTCCCACCACTGCTTTGGTGACACTGGCAGCTGCACCTGGGGTAATAAAAGTCAGCAGAATAGTAATTAGCAGGAAGCACAGCTTCAGTCACATCATGTATGTTCCCTAGAAAGTCTTAACTGCTCTGTGATAGCAGCTCTTGCAGCCCAGGGCCTGCAGACTTCTCCAAGAAAGCCAAATCTTAATCAAACTCCATTTCCTGGGAGAGAAGCAGCTCTATTACTAACAACATCATCTCACATCCCAGGTTATGAGAGTTATGCCAGAGACAGCCCCAGCATAACCTCTCTGTGAGCCTCAGAGGAGACAAAGCAAATCATGGTGTTCTAATCAACATTTGCAACACTAACCAGGAGGTTGGGAGTGCAAATGCATCTATCCACATTGCGCTGCAGACTCAGTTTAATGCTATAAGCCAGGTAAAATAACTAAAAAAGAGGTTTTGAGGGGAGATGAGGCATTTTTCCTTTTGGCATTACCACAGTTCTGGGCAGATGCATGCTACACATTTTATTCAGGCAGATGTACTGCTGCTATTGTTTTAAAAGCAAAAGTTATATGGGTGAGACTAAGGTACATATTCAGGTAGCAAGATTAGCAGGGCAAAATAGGAAAGCTGAAAAATCAAAGCTTGTCAAAAGCTATCGACTTCTGCCAAATCTCTGCAAGAATTGCTGCCCTTATTTCTGAAGGACCACATATGCTACATTAACACTCTGAATACTCGAGGCAGCTTTGTGGAAACCACTGATTTTTATCCTCAACTTCCAAGGTAGTCTACACTAAATCTGGGAAAGCATTCTCATTTACAACACCTGTTTGCACAGCAACACCTATGCCCTCAGCCAAAATCAAGTCCCCGCTTCCAGAATCATGGGGTGGCATCGCCTCCTTTTTAGAGGTGGTAGTTTCCTCCTCCCACAAAGCCAGAATGCTAAAGGTACACTGAAAGATTCCTTTTGAGCTCATACAATTGGCAGTCTGATTTTATCACCTAGCAGTTTTAGGTTTCTCAACGGAGTTTTTAGGCAGAGAAGGCAGCAAATTGCAGGACAACCCTTTCTATTGACTATGTGAAACAGCACTTGTGGTCACCTTGCCAGAACATAGGAACATCAATCAGTACACACTGTGCTCCGGCTGGATTCAGCAGCCTCAGGCATTTCACTCTGGGAAAAGGCTTTCCTTCTAACATCACTGCTTCTGATACTTTTGTCACTGATCCTGGTCCATTCAGAACTGAAATCCAGTGGTTGGCCCCACTCAGTGTTTCAAGCTGTAAACCTCACACCACTACACGAACAGCCAGCAGTTCTGCAGCCAGTCGAGTGAATTGGCAAGTTCTTGCTTTAGA